GGGGGTCATTCGTCTGACTGCTTTCATCGTTGCCGCAAAGGATGTTGGTCTAACGTCTGGTTCAGCCCTGGCCGCTGATGCTTCAGCGTCTGCTTTTTCGTTCCCGGGGATACCCACGTGGCTGGGAATCCACGCGATTTCCACGCTCCTTCCTGTTTCTGGCTCTCTCCAGAACGTTCATCACTTGTTGTACCAGCGGTTTCTTCGGGTCCTTTCCTGTCCCGAATTTCTGTAGGGCATCTACAGCGGATTTATTGTCAGTAAGGATTCTAGCAGAACTCCAATCCTCGGATAGGTGCTCTAGCTATTCCGCCGCCGTCAGTAGAGCTAGCATCTCGGCATCAAAGGATGAGCTGTAGTATGCGCCCCTTCTCCTGGTCGTTGCAATTGTTGAATAGTTATTCCTTTCCTTCGTTACCACGACTCCCACACCTCCCTGTCTGCATCCATCTATCGCCGACCCGTCGGTATAAATAGTCAGGGACGTTTCCGGTAGGGAGTTGAGCGCATCCTCCATTCGTTGCCGGTTTTCTACCATCTCTGCTTTGCTGCACAGATCTTCAAAATTCCTTAGAATAGTGATGTTAGGACGTCGCCATGGGGCTAGAGTGTTAACAGCGAAAAGTTTTCTAGGCCTCTCAGAATCCTCTCCCAGAGTTTGATGCAGGCATCTGCGCGCATTCTCACTCCAGGTTGAGGTCCGCTTTAACCGGGTTGGATGTTGCTTCTCGCAGTGGCAGTTGGTTAAGTGGGATTTCGGAGCAGGTTCAAGTCTTCTCCGACTACTACGTGTGACATTACCGGAGATGTTTCGCGTCTGGTGGCGTAAGCTGTGTCGGCCGAGGGTAGGGGAAAGGGACATGTTCGAGTGGAACTTGAGCAGCCGCGACTACCTGGACGCACGTGTGTGTCCGAGTGGAAGTCGGTCAAGTGTCTGCAGGTCAGCGTGTCTGAAAGCGTTGACTGAGATAGTGGATGACCTTGAGACAGTTGGCCTTCAACACCAAAGTTGGGCGCCGTCTACAAACTGCATGACAACTACTGAGACAACAGATGATAAACCGAACCCTTCGCAGTTTTTTTCCTGCCACCGCAAAAGGCAAAACAGTAGCTAGTACTTGCTAGCAGGATTAAAATGAGCTTCGCCGAGTTATTTTGTGTGTTAGCTTTTGTTTCATTGCTCTTTCTTATTTCCTGTCAGGCTACATTCCTGGACCCTACTTTTCACCCATGGGCGAAGCCTCTGACTACCTCAAACAACTGGTGGCCCTGTGGAACCGCCGGGACGTCGAGCATGCGGACCTTGCCGACCTCTTCCCGCCCTGCAGTTCATTCTTCGATGGAAAGTTTCTCACCCTGAGATGCAATTCTGATCTTGGGTGAGTCCTGTCGTGCGTCTGTGTAGCTTCAGTGGGCGAACAGAACAGTCATCATCTGGTCTCGTTGGTCTGTATATTTAACTACCATCCCACTTTCAGGTAGTGGCTGGCAAGACAACTAATTAATTGTGGGGCCGGGCAGTCCTCTGATGGATTCTATGTTGATTGTTTCGGAAATCCTGCTTGGGCAGTCAGCCTACTGTATCAAAATTGGTAAATTTATAGCCGTGGGTTAAGTCAATAGCGGGTTGACTGGCCTCGACTATGCCGATGATATCACTTTACTAGCATCAAGCTTTGGCAATCTCCAGTCTATGGTGTCACGGGTGAATGAGGTCGCGAAATCGGTCGATTTGTCCATAAACGCCGGGAAGACCAAAGTGTTTTCATGCTGCATCCCTGCCGAAGAGAAGGCACGTCTCGAGATTAGTGGCTGTCAACTTGAAGAAGTCGACAGTTTCAAATACCTGGGAGCGAGGTTGCTGCCAAATGGACAGAGTAAGGATGACATTGTCTCCCGAATTGACGTAGCACGACGAATGTTCTCCAGCCTTCAGAAGTGCTTATGGACCCAACGCGATATTTCCATCTCAACAAAGATCCGCGTGCATCGTGCATCTGTGCT